GGCGGCGCTCCCGCCCGAGGGTTCGGATCCCACATACAGACCGGTTCCCGCTCACTGGCTGAGCGAGGCGTGGGAGCAACACCGAGGGTTGCGATCCGTTGCCGGACACGGAAAAAGACAAAAAAACAAAAAAAAAAAAAAGAAAAACTGTGGTTTTATGAAAAGAATTACCCCAAACTGTATGTAACATCTTATAATTTCAAAAATTGAAAATTTTTTTCACTTGGCAAACTTAGGTGACCCTGAGACAATAATCTTTATGGCCCCGAAATAAAAGAATATAATTTGTTTTATGAAAAACTTGCTTTCTATAGGGTCATAGACTCAACATTGTAATCCACAAATACTGATGGATAGTCTACTATGTGGCGGGCCCTGTTCCAGGAATACAGAGGTGAACAACATTCCAAGTGCTCTAAAAGAGAGATTCTCAAACTTACTGTGCATCAGAATCACCTGGAAGGCTCCTTAAACAAAACACACGTGGCTGGGCCCCACCCCCAGAGTTACTGTGTCAGAGGCTGGAGTGGAGACAATGTATCCGCATTTACAGGCCAGATCAAGCTGATGCTTCTAGTCCTGGAACACTTTGAGAATTATTGCCCTAAAATACACCTCCTCTTTCCTCTTTCTTTCAACAGTAAGATATCCCTTGAAGGAGCAGGTAGAAAACTTAAATTCTCAGCAGATATACCTCTCTTAGCAGCTTCGTGGATGGGGGATGCCAGATCACTCTCAGGGTGGGTGCTGGCTCCATACTGCAGAAGCAAATTCACGCAGTCCTGGCTGCCGCTGACACATGCATTAAACAAGGGTGTGTGCCAGTCTGCAGTGACGCCATTCACCTGGGAAAAAAAGCTTCAGGATGAAGACAGGCAGTGGGGTGTTCCAGGTTTAAATGTAGGCTCCATCGCTTTCAAGATGTTACTTAACTTCTCTGAGCCTTAAATTCCACAGCTATGAAATGGGGAGAAAAATACCAAATTCCACAGGGTTGTTGTGAAAAACTGAATGAGGTATGGATATCAGGCACCAAGAATGTGACTGAATGTTCTACCTCCTCCATGTCATCCCCAGGAACACGAACACTGAAACTATTTAGCACAATTTCAATAGCTTACAAACTAATCTCCTTACTTTAAACTTCCATCCTAGACCCATCCCACAACAATCCAGTTTCCATACAGAGTAATCTTCTAAAATCGGTAAAATATAATTTTAAAAAATTTTAAAACATGACCTTCATACAAATATAGAATTAACACAGGTCAAAGATTTTATTCAACTCATTCAATAATGAGGGAACCATGAGATGGTACAGCTGGCTCAAAGGAGAATTTATATAGTCAGTCACTGAACTGCTGAAATACCTTTGGTAATACATACAAAACTGGTTAATGCCCAATCATTGAGCCATAAAACTATAATGTTTGGGGCTATCTTTTCTAACATTGGAAATTAGACAGAAACGTACAAGTAAACATGTAACTTCACAGTATTTAGGCTATAATCACATAGTAAACAGCAAAGCCAAATGCAGACACATTCTTCTATACCATTAAATAATTCTTTGGTGAATCCGTTAAGCAATGATATTGTGAAGACAATGAATTCATTCTCACACTCTTCTTCCAAGAAGGCCAGGACAAGAGTGTAGCACAAAAGATGCCCAGGGTATGAAATTTAAGGAGACACTCACCCTCAGGGTCACACAAGTGTTACAGGGCCCTGGGAGTGACAGTCTCTTTAAAATTTGCACCCTAGGTGCCTCTCCTGCCTCATCTTAGTCCTGGCCCTGTTTCCAAGTTTTTAATAAATTTCCTTAGCCCGGATGTAAACCTGATGGTGCCCACATCTCTGGCCCTCTACTGATCTCAGGATGAAGCCCATTTTCTTAGCACGGATAACAAGGTTGCTCATGTTCTGAACCCTCTTGCCCACTCTACTCTCCTGCCATAACGGATGACTTGAAGTCACAAAACTTGGCTCATTTTCACTTCCAGGCCTTTGTATTTGCTGTTCCCATGGGTGGGAAGCCCATTATTTTCCCCAACCCACTATTCAGCTGACTAACCCCAATAGGTCATTCATGTTTCAGGTTAGACATCATTTCCTGTAGGAAGTCTCTTTGATTCCCTCTCTCCCCATCAGAAATAGATGGGTACTTCTATGTGCTCCCAACAACACCCTTAGTATTAATACTTATTACATTGTGGCACTTTGCAAAAATGACCACAGATTCTTTCTATCCCGGTATGCATATCCCTCTGCAACGTAGCTTTACAACTTCTCCCATCACAAGATGGAGACTATTTTTCCAATTCTTGAATCTGGGCTTGCCCAGGTGACTTGTTTTGGCCAATGGGACAGTAGCAAATGTGATGCAAGCCCAGAGCTTGCCCTCTTTTGCTGCTCTTGCAACCCCTGCTACCATGTGGACAAGTCCAGGCTGCCCGCTGAAGAATGAGCGACCACATAGAGATTTTCTGTCTCCCTAAACATCCCAGATGTTCCAGCCAGAAGTTATGTGCTTTCTATGAGGGGACTTCAAAAACTTCATGAAAAAATAGAAAAGATAATACAAATCTTTCCATAAAGTTTTTGACAACCCCTCATACAATATTTCACTGCCTTCCAGCCATAGCAATGAAGGTAGGAGTCTAACAGCTACTCATTGGTATTATCTGATAAAGAAAACGATATGGACTCTAAGCACGACTTTCTAGCTAAAACGGCAGTATTTCATCTATCACTGAAGGAAACAAGCTTGATGGACATAATACTCTTGAAAAACACCACTCTTTATATTTCAAAAGTGCTAGAAATTGTTTAGAAGGGATAGAAATAAGAATTTTTCATTCTTGGTTTGTAAAGTGTTATTTGAGCTTCACTTACCTGAGCTCCATGCTTTAATAAAGTGTTTGCACAAGATGGATGACCTCTAAGACAGGCTTCATGGAGTGGGGACACATGGTCGGCCGTGATGAGGTTCACAGGCCATCCCTGGAGGAAGAGAAATGGACAGAATAAGGGGTGCAAAGCAATAGTGTCCTGAGGTTGGTTTTCAGCCACGATTCCAATACTATGACAATTCTTCTAAAAGTTGTTTTGGCTCAAAGTCAGTACACTAAAGTGTTGAAAGTGATGTAAAATAAGAACTGTCATACAATGCTAGTGGAGGTGTAATATGGTATAGCCACTCAGGAAAAGTTTGGTGGTATCAAAGTTGACAATACTCATGCCTACAACCCAACCATTTGACTCTTAGGTATATACACTCAAGAAATATACACCTAGATAAATATACAAGAATATTCACAACAGCTTTGGTCATGATTGCCAAAAACTGCAAACAACCGCAATGCCCATCAACAGTTGACTGGATTAATAAACTTTGGTATAATCATTCAGTGGAATATTAATTACACTGAACAAGTTACAACTGCAAACAACCACAAGGATGACGCTTGCAAAAATAATGTTGAGCAAAAAAAGCAAGAACCAAAATAATACATCAAAATAAACTTCAAAATGAGGCAAAACTAACCTACAATGTTTCAGAATACATAGGAGGTAAAACCATAAAGAAAAACAAGGAAGTCAGGACAATGGTGACTTCTATGGAAGAGCACAAGGGAAGGGATGGCTGGCGCTTTGGAGGAGCCAACAATGTGCTCTTTTTCCATTTCCTGACTGAGGGCAGTCACATGGCAATGTTCTCATCATCAGTGTTTGCTCAATTGTACATATGTGTTTAAGTTATTTTATGTGTGTTAATAGTATTTCTCAATTAGAAATATTTTAAAGTTAGCCTGGCCCAAATTGCTAAGTTTAACAAGCAGTTATTAAATTTTAACAAATGAACAAGTGGCTCTTTCTTGTGGGACAATTAAAAGAAAATTTTCAAACTGCAAGGGAACACAAAAATACTCTACATGTGCCTTTTAGGAAGCCTAAACGTACTTTATTACTTTAGGAAATTAAAATATAGCTATTAAGGGCCGGCCCAGTGGCGTACTGCTACAGTGCGCCGCTTGGGAGTGCGGAGGTGCTCCCGTCGAGGGTTCGGATCCCACATACGGACCGGTTCCCGCTCACTGGCTGAGCGAGGTGTGGGCGCGGCACCGAGGGTTGCGATCCATTGCCGGACATGAAAAAAGACAAAAAATAAATAAATAAATATATACCTATTAACTAATACAATTGCTCTTTAAATATAAGTATTATGTAACACATGGGACTTGACAATGTATATAAGAAAAATATCAGTTCCATCCAATTTTTTTTCTAAAAAGAAAATAAAACTCCTTTCCCTAACATTTAATGTTTTTTCTTGGCCTTTTTAGCTCTGTTTTAGCTTTGACAAGAAGATCAGCAAACAACAGCCCATGAACCAAATCCAGCCCACAACCTGTTTTCGTATAGCTCAGTAGCTAAGGATGGTTTTTACATTTTAAATGTTGGGGGAAAAAAAAGAATATTTTGTGACACATGAAAGTTATATGAAATTCAAATTTCAGTGTCCGTAAACAAAGTTTTATCAGAACACAGCCATGTCCATTAATTTACATATTGCCTACGACTATCGCTCTACAGTGGCAGAGTCAGAAAGTTGCAACAGAAACTGGATGGTCCGCAAAGCCTAAAATATCGACTATCTGGCCCTTTACAGAAAAAATTTGCCAATCTTTGTCTTGATCAAAGGAAAGAACATATTATTTCTTACCTTACTATTCCTACCTAGATGTAAATAGACAATTGGCAGGATAAAATATAGCATTTTCCTACATAGTCATCACACTTTTTAAAAGTGGATTTGTTGCAACAAGAGGGGCATGATTGTCGCATGAGGCAAAAATTACATGAGGGTTACAGACACAAGTGATTGGAAAACAGGCACAGGCAGGAACTTGGGCAAAAGACAACCACAAGAAAAATGGCCAGTAAAAAAAGGTGCAGAACTGATCAGCAAGACAAAGCAAGTGAGAAGCAACCATGGAGGCCACATCATCACCAGAACCCCCAACCAACTACAGTGTGCAAATCCAGTTCCCCCAACCATCTACAGTGTGCAACTTGAAAGAAGATGCCCTCCAACCCCACACAGCCCAGTCTGCCCACTCTAACAGAGGGCTTTGCCTACTACTTATTGCTATGACAAGTATGCAACCGAGAATGATAACGGACAGAATAAAGTGAGCTCCAACACGCCTGGCTTGCATGTCTCTGACCCATGAGCCCCCAATGATTCCTGTCTCCTGATATTCACACCCTTGTGTAATGTCTTCATGAATGAGGGCTGGACCTAGAGATTTGCCTCTAATGAAGAGAATATGCAAATGTGATGAGATCATTTCCATGGTTAAATTGCTAAAGACTGACTTTCATCTTGTTCTCTCTCTTGCCCTCTCACTTGTTGGCTTACTTGTTCTGATGAGGTCCATGATAAGGAACTGAGCGTAGCCTCAAGTCAACAACCAGCCAGGAACTGAGGCCCTCAGTCCAACAACCCAGGAGGAACTGAATCTTTCCAATAGCCACGTAAGTGAGCTTGGATATGGGTGCATCCTCAGTCGATCCTTAAGATGACTTCAGCTCTGATCTACACCTTGATTACAGATTCATAAGAGTTCCTGACCTAGAGAAACTGTATCTAGATTCCTGACCCACAGACACTGGGAGCTAATGTCAGGTCCGCAGCTGGCGGCAGTCCCGTACAGCACTAGCCTCGTTCCTTCTGGTGAGCGAGTGAATGGGCCCAGATTCCTTTTTCCCTCCAGTCCCCTTTGGAAGGAGACAGGGGAAGAGAGCCGTAAAGAGAGGTGAGCACACCACCGGCCCCCCAGCCCAGTTAAAGGACACTCAGACGCGGCGGGGGTTCTGTCAAG